CTACGGCTGTGACCCTTACTCATTGCTAAAGGCGGCTTTATGATGGTTGCGACTACGGAAAATAAGTAACAGTTCGAGTCGACGACAAATGGCGGAACCATGTAGCCATGGAAGAATACAGCACCATTACCAGCCGATTCTTGTTGCACCCAACGCTTTGTCATTGATCCGTATTCTATGGTACTGTAGCCTGCGCAGAACTGCCGTGTTAAAAGCACTAATGTTGGCCTTTGCCTGCCGAAAAGCGCAACATCATTTCTTGTATACAGTCTTGTAAGTGCGCCGCTTCATTCCACTACTATGATGGCAGACCACAAAGGCTTCCCGAGAGGTCTGCTCCACCCCACCTGCAGATCTTGAGATGCTAACCGAGGGCTTCAATAGGATTGGGTCCTTATGAATACCTGTACCCAATGCGTATACAAAACTTGGTTGAATCGCATCGTGGCACATCGTACGTTTTAATGTACATATACGGGACTGAGCGTTTGGGTCTTAAGTGGGTGGTAGAGAGACTTGTCGCTGGTTACTTTGGGCTTCGACGGTCGTTCCAGGCAAGGCTTGGTTGGAAGCACTGTTGGTACTCGTTCCTCTCCTCTGAGCTCATAGACACGGGCGCAAAGACAAGGGGTAGTGTCGGCGGGCATGGTGTTTGACATCTAGGGCACTTGGCATGGTCGGCTTCTTATCTTTTGTAGCGTCCGCACAGAAGGGGGCGGAACGAAACTCATTCGCCGTTATGTCTATTGTAGGAAACATGCATGCTCCGCTGCGTGGGGCAATGTGCAACTAAATTTGACCATGCCGCGGGCCGCGGCCCCGTTGCACCACTATTCGGCGTCTCTGATTTGGTAAGTATGTACCACCGGCAGACTTTTACCATAATTGCTTTGTCCTTAAATATGGCCCAATGCCGACCGCACCCCTATCTGGCACGCCTTGCTGGGAAAGGTGAGCGAGGGTATTTTCCCAAGTGTCCCCTCCACCAAGGCATTTCTGGGTGTATATTCTCGTTGTCGGAAAGTGCAGGCGTCTATTTTGGACCAAAGGCTATTGAAAAGGTGGTATAAAGTAGGTGTCAGTTTGATGTTCAGGGTCAAAACAGTTCTCGAAAATTCTCCGAGTGGTGACTCTCAATGGTCCCTCCCGTCTTACCATGGGCTCTTCTTCCACGCCGTCGTGTGGACAGCCTGAGCACGTTAGTCCAGTTATATGAGCCCTACACAGATAGTGTGCTGTGGAAGTGCCGGCCAGCCAGCGTGACCATCATTCACGGTGACCAGCCACGGGCATACGGTCCTGGTCTCTACACATCATTACACGATGTTCAAGGCGAACAAACCCTTTGCAACTTTTTGCAGCTTTCTGCAGCCTGTAGCCTCGAGTCGCGACCACTCTATGCCAAACAGTCTGTTTCTATGGATGCGGGGCTCACTGCTAAATTCTTTCATAGCCTATGCCTGGAGTTTAGTGACGTTATATGTATCAATGTACGAACCGTGGACGAGGCGGTTCGCATATTTCTACAGTTTAGAGACTGCACCGAGCTTAGAGCCCATACAGAGCCACAGTTGATTATCCTGTTTGAAATGATTCCACCACGGACCACAGTAGATGAGACAGATGTAAAGAAACACCTCGAAGCCTGTTTGGCCAAAAAAGGGAATTCCTCCCAGTGGACTTCGCGACTGTTGCAGCATTTAATCGTGCGATCTCATGGCCCGCAAAGAACCAATGTGCCCGAACTTTTGACGGATATCCAAATGTATACTACCGTAATGAGAAAAAGACGCGAGAAAAGGAGCCACCTATGGACACTTGGAGAGCTCAATTACCTATTTGAGCAGTACCTCATCATCAAAATACCCTTGAGAGCATATCACCAAAGGCTGCCGAGCTTGGTCAACCCAGGGCAGGGGGCTACCTGGTATCCAATGGCGTTTAGAAAGCGGATCTGGCCTGGGAAAGAGATACAAGAACACAACGGCTTATCCAAGTGGTTCCAGGCTATTGACCAAGACAGCGATTTGAACGGCGCTTTGGCCCCGGTCTTTGCGAAGATGTTTCTGGAAGATGCAGATCTCCTCCCGCACGGTATGTGATATCCCACCGAAAGAGTACCGAGAGAGTCTACGCTGGGCTTATCTAACCATGCTGGTGCGTTTAGGTTTCCTTCCCACAGAGCTCTTTGCTAGCATATACGGGCCCTTGTGCAGACAAGCATGGCACCATGCCGTTCGGGATTGCGACTGGATAACTCACAAGGGACTTGGAAGCTTTTTGGATGCCGTAGTCTCGAGAATGGGGCACCAGGTCCCAGATCTCTGGCACAATGCGCAGTTAGGGCTACAGAAAGTCAGAGGAAAGCCGTTGTGCTGCATGTGTCCATGGAACATGCAGCCATGGGCTGTTTTCCCCTGCGGTCACGGCATATGCGAGCGCGATGCTTGGCGTTATTCTGGGATCCAGCCCAATGATGCTGAACATCCGACTCTTTCCCATTTTAAAGCCTGCCCGGCATGCCATGCGCCGGTGGACTTGAAGTTACGGCTTCGTCCGTTACAAGCCGGTTATCGAGTCGCTACCTTCGATGGAGGTGGGGTCTTAGGAATAGTCTCGCTCATTGCCCTACGAACTATTACCGAGGGTCTTCCGAGGGCACTATCCGCCCACCACTTTTTTGACCTGATAGTCGGTACAAGTACAGGTATGTTGTCCGGGTCTTGAGTATGGAATGTACGTCCAATTGACGGTCAGAGAAATAGGTTCAATTATAAGCGCTGCGCTTGGTCTTATGCAATGGCCATTATCGTACTGCATCGAGATGTTTTGCTCCACGGCAAACGATGTGTTCATTAAGAAACGTGGAATTGGAGCACTTGTGCGAAGATTGCTTCGTCTCCACAAGACCGGCGCGCGCTATGACATGAATGTGTTTTGTCACGTACTCAGAAATGCTTTCGGGAATCATCTGATGCGACAGAGCATAGTAAAAACGAAACAAGATGTCGTGCGTGTAGCCATCACGTCGGCAACTTTCGATTCCCGACTATGCTTGTTCCGTTCCTATGGTGACGTACTTCGCGAGGCAGAACGCGGAAACTACAAACCAGAGAGCCTTTTCGATCTTCCCCTGTGGCAAGCGTACGTCACCCTTTGGTTTGATGCTTTTGGCCTTGATTTGGTCCAGAACACGGTGTGCTGATCTTCTCTGTTTTCTGCTTAGTATTGCCACCAGCTGCGCTGCCCCCTGGTCTTTGAGCCGGTAAATGGACTTCAGGATGGGGCATTTGCTGCCAATTGTCCCGCATGGGTGGCAATGATGGAGGTGAACGAGCTTTCTATGCTAGGCAGCCGTCTGCTAGACTTTTCAGTAAGCTTTGGGACTGGTCAATTTCTGAGTCCAGACAGGAGCCGTTCTCGGAGCTGGTTGAAGCATCTCGTTCCAGAATGGGTCTCCAGGCTGGGTTGTGGTTTAGGCAGCGTCGTGGACGCCGACTCTATGTACGGAAAGTTCTCTAGCGCCCTCAATAGGGCCGAAAGAGATGGTAAACATTATCGCGTGGAGCCTTCGTTTAGAACAGTGCCGATTGCCCTCGATGACCCGGCCTTCCTTACAGACCTCACCACGGAGACGGAACTTTACATGAAATCCCCAAATGTCCAGCAAAGTACTCTTCACTTACAGCTGGCAATGCTTGCGTCTTGCTTCTATGCTGCTTTGCTGTCACCGCCAGCGTTTGACTCCAACGTGGGACAATACTGCGCCCGCTTAGCAGTTCTGTCCCGATGGCCTGAAGATGGGGACATACGTCAGTCACTCGGTGAGAAACTAGAACATGCATCTTTTATTGTGGGTACCCTGGCGCGCCCTTACACGATTCCTTTGTACTGCACGATTTACGTGAGCGCTTTGGATGTGCCTGTTGAAATAAGTCTCACCCTTGACGGAATAACATCATGCCCTATTAGCGGGGCCCCGCTGTCTCTGACGCAGCTGATATACCTGCAACATCCGCCATGCTGGTCTCACTTGGCTACACGCAAGCGGGGCGGCTCCCATTTGGCCGATGGTTGCAACAAACGTCGCTGTATTGCCCAACATGCAAGTGGCTGACGCGAAATGGCTTTGGAACCGACTACCTGGTCACGGGATGCCCAGCCATGAAGGACTAAATGCGTTCTGTAATTTTCCGGGATGTAATTGATGCTGCTTGACGTGTTCCAAGGCCCGAGGATTCAATAATTATTTGCTGGCAATGATTCCTTTGATGGAACGAAGTCTTTGTTACGTGTCTGGATGCACTTGCTACCGTCGCCATTTGCCAAAATAATGAATCAACAGTCTATGTCAGGGTCACCGGATAATAGTGTCAAGATCAAGATTGTAGGTCTCATGCTTTCACCTGGTAGTCATAATTCAATCTTCGTGTGAGAGTGGCGCTAGCTTTTGTATATATCTTGATGTTCTAGAGTATCCCGATCTCTGTAGAGGACTTTACACGAAGCGCGGCAGGCAGAAGGTTGACTAAATGGTTGCATAACCAACCCTGGGTACGGAAGACTAGACAATGAATAGCATGCAAGCTCCAAATTAGTTTGGGAAGACATAGTTTTAATGGAAGTATTGAATTTAATATAAACAATTTACAATATTTCTATTTTGATAGTGGAATCTTTACTCAACCTTTGATGTACTATATTCATTGAATCCCTCCTCCTAGCCCCATTTTCTCCGAAAGGTTATGCGGCGCTAGGACGCCGTCCTACGCGGTAAGCTACTGTATCTGTAGCCAGGACCTTGATTCCCAGAGTGAATTTATGTATGGTCGGAGTTCTGTCCTGTGCGCTGAAATATTTGAGCAAATCCACATACGTTTCCTGCCAATATCTCGCCTTTCCTCTGGTATGAAGTTGGCCACTTTACTCAGTTTCTCTTCCGCCAATGGGCTTCAAAGGCTTCTCGGATTGAGTAGGGAACGCTATCACAAACTGGATTCTCAGACTTGTATGGTGCTCTTCACCTTGGCGCAAATCTGAAGGGTGCCAGTCTCCGGGAAGCCAACCACTCGATCGCGCGCGACACGGATGTTCCCCGGATCCACACTCTGGATTTCCAAGACAAAGCGACGAACATAGGTCGCAACTGTCAGATAAATTTCCATGATTACCAGACTTGTCGGGACCCATCGGTAAGTAATGATTTCGAGCTAACTGAACGAAAGGGAACGGGTGCTTACTTCACGCCAACACACTTGCGACTGCCCTTTGTAAAGGGCACCAGGTACTTTCTGAGGTTGAAATCCTCCGATGCCTTGAACCACCGTTCAGGGTTGAAGTTGTGTGGATCCGGGGATATAACCGGATTGTGGTGGACAAAGTAGATAGAGGTGCTCATTGGGGTCTGCAACGAGGGTTCGTACTATTAGCACAGACAATCTTTTCCACTCTGCTCCTTGATATATACTTCTCGTGTACCCCGGGAGGAATGACATGCTCATTATAGTAGGACTTCATTTGGTGCCACGCGCGGCAACCGAATAACCGCTGCGTTGGACAAGCGCAACGACTCATTGTCCACGGCGGTCTGGACGATTAGCTTCGATCGAGGTCAATGTGAGTGGGCAGAGACGCACCAAATACGGAAGCTTCTCCAGTTCCTCCCACGTAGCGGTGCTCGTTGGTGTGGGCAGAACCTGCCTGAGCTCTGCCCGTAGTCTCTCCCGGACCATATAACCTTGGAAGACGTAATTCGCGGCAAAGGCGAAAGAGCGCATTGTCGTCTCCGTCCCCGCCACGATGAGAGTGAAGCCTTCATCTTGGAGACGACTCAAAGTCCTCTCGCTCGGAGGGATTGCCTCGCTTGTCAATCGCTTGATGATAGTTATTCCCCCCCCCCGGTGAGCGTGATGCGCTGGCCGGCGACGACGGCTGAGAAATGCTCGAAAATGGACCGTTGAAACTCGAACAAGGCCGATTTGCCGGGCATCAGAACTGCCATCACCTGCGGCGGTACCTTGTGTAAGAGTCCGGTTAGGAACGGGGAAAAAAACGGTTGATATGGCTAAACGCCCGCAAAGTCGTTGGCCGCCGTGCGGATATCGCTGCGGAAGTCCGGGTCTTCCAGGAAGCCCCAGCTTTTGCCATAGCAGCAGAAGGTGATTACGTCTGACGTGAGTGCACCGAAAGCGCCGCAGAGATCAACAACCTCTCCCCCGACGTGGAACTCCACCAACCGACTCATGAGCTTCCCTACCCGTTCTTCAATCACGGGCGATAATCTTGACACTGACCTCCTGGAGAAGAACTCATACAAGAGGCTGCGTCGATAGCGGTGGACGTCATGCTTGACGGTCGCAACTGCCGCATAGGGGACACCGAACGTAGGGACGAAGGTGGGCTCCTTATCGCGCTTTCGGACCGATGAAGTGTAAATCTCGTCGTAGAAATCGGGGTCTATGATATGGACTTCGCGTGGATTAATACGTACAATGGGTCTTGTGCGGCGGAATCAGTTACGGCCGGGGCATCTAGTTCGTCCAATGCTGACCGTATTTCTTGTGCATTTCCTCAATCCGAAAAATAAACCGTCCATCGCAGACGACATTGTAGTAGAGCTCATACAGAGAGGTAATGGCCGTCATTTTGGGCCCCGGGATTCTCGCAAGGGGATGGAGATAGAGCCGGTAGAAAGCACGCAGAACCAAGGCTGCCAGTACGGCACCAACAAGGTCCCATGCGTGAATTTTGGCAAGATTCATGGTAGGCTGCAGCAGGTGAAGGTCTCCTTGCTCGTGATCGTGCTGTGGATGGTTCGTAGCTTCCAATGCCATTCATCGCAGGTTAAATGTCCAATTCTTTTAGTCACCCCCCAAGCAACGCGAAGCTTGCTTCTCTACCTCTATCGATTAGGTTAGGGGCCATCGACATTAATATTACGTGAATTGAGCGTACTAGTTACAGGATAAGAGTGTATTACGTGAATGAACGGTCAATCAGGATTGCGTGAATAGTGATCAGGTGATTTAGTGTGCCATATAATCATAATTATTCTGCGGCGGCCTCTGATACCAACGGTCATTGAACGGGGATGTGTTTGGTCTCAAAGAGTGTCCCAGCTGACAGACAAGTACACCCTTGGTTGTATTCCATGGATATGACTTTCTCGCCCGGCCACCATATGGTGAACCCAACTATGATATTCTTTCGAAATATAGAGCACCCTACACTATCCAGTCGTTACTTTATATTCAGTACCGATAGGATTCCCTGCGTATGTTTTGGGGGTGATAGAGTAAACTTTAATTACTCGCTCGTCTCTCGATGACCGAGCCAATATGATGAGTTTGTTCTTGACCTCAGAAGGCAGGAAGCAAGGCCCGAACAGCGGGAATACACTCGCATAAAGTCCAGAAAGTTTGATCTAGAAATGCATTTGGAGAGATTCTGTGGTCGTGCAGCGGCATGCATCAGTTATCCTTCAATTCCCTTTGATGCAGACGTTTTTTAAGATGAAAAGATTGTTTCAGAAATGGTCTGAACATGACAGGCAGGGTTTAAACATGCCATTGAAGCATCTGTGGATCGATAACCGGGCCCCGTAACTACATAATAACAATCCGGAATTCAAGACACAATGTCTTATCTAATTATGTCACTGCCATGGTGGAAACGAAGGCTGCCGCTTAGCAAACGTCCGGTCAGTGTCTATATTATTACTATAGCTCATGTCCCGCATGGGCTCTTCTTGCGTGTACGGTAATATAGCAAGCCACCTGTAACATACCTGTTTTGTTTACGCGATCTTGTGCTTGCAGAATCATTTGGAATCAATAAGCCGGTCCCAGAATGTCGCTATACCGGATTGGTCTCTTGAACCCCTACGGAAGTTTTCGTAGAGGGATTGAGGAATCACGTTAGCAGTACGGTGGCATTACGGGGACGTGGAATATAGGAGGTTAAGGACTGGTCATTATGCCGAACATGGATGGCTCCCATCGGCCGCCAAATCCAAGTTCTCTGCCACTTCGCCCAACCCAGTCGAGTGCCTCTTAGATGCTTCCTCTTCCCTCTCTTCCGGTGTCGTTACACTCTTCCATTCTAGCTCTTCGTTCCATTGCCCTCGCTCCAGGTCAACCTTGATGTTCCTACCCGAATCCGCATCTAAGTCTCGGTATCGGACCGTTCTCATGGCACCTGTGCCCAAACCTCCGGGTCTGGCTGGTGAGTACCAATACTGGACCGATCCCATTCTTTGCCAGGAAACTCGAACCGGACTAAGAAATTTTCGCAAGCTTGGATGGCTTCCAAATTTCAAACCAATGGCCTTGGAAGGCATCGCTGTCTTCGAACGATATTGGTGGAAGTGAGTATTCGTTCGGTCGGGAGAAGCCTGGTAATAGACAAATCAAGCTCCTTCTCGGTGAAACCAATTTTAAGGGTTGTAATGCAGCTACCCACCCCGGAGTACGTATTTTCTGAACGGGCGCATCTTGTGGAAAACTTTTACAACCCGACACAGAGAATCTTGGCGAGAAAAAGCTACTTGCTCGACAAAGGTTGGCGGCACATTCCAAGCCTGTACCTCAACGACAATATATGGCGCGCTCGTGCCGACATTGCGAACAGTCGAGAACAGCCGGGACTACACAAGCGGAGAAAATCACGACCAGGGATGTCGAAAGTATCCAGCATCCAGCCTATGCTGCTTGGGTCCAAAACACTGAGAATTTGATGGCGACCAGGATCCAGAAATCGACTGGAAGCTGAACTGCTCGAAGCAAAGGTGGAAGCTGATTCAAGAGCTAGGGTTCGGCTTACTTTATCAACAACAAATTGACATGGTATAGGTACATGGGCCCTATGACTAGATTAATTTGTGGCGGTACAATGAAACGGATGGATGGGTCATTTACCCTGACCCTCGCTTTAAGTTCATTTCCCAACTAAGCTAGAATACGAACTCGTGCCTAGTCCGGCGGGTAGTGGTTTAGAGTCCAACTCTTTTGGTGATATATAATTTACCACTAAAATACAAATACATGATTGTCTCAAAGGGATTGTTTTAGAACTCTTGCGATGAAGTTTGAGCCTCGCCGGTGAGATGGATACTGGCCAAATAACACTACGAGGTGGTAGGCGATAACAAGGAAGGCCAGAGGGGCAAACGGGTAACACTTTCCAGTGCTGCAAGAAGGTGGGCAATATGGTACTTCTCTTGATTTCTGAAATATAATGATGCGACAAGATGCGGTCAATAAACATTGTGGGCAGATTGGCAAATCTACGAAGAGTTACAAATCGTGGAATGATATATATCGAGCTTGCAGGGTACCAGACGTAGAAGGAACGACGCAACCATTTATCAGCCACCGCAAAGATGTTTGCATTGAAATCGTATAATGGCTGTATGAACCCCTGACTCGTTTCGTACAAACATCTAGCCCAAGTTTGACGCACCGAAACAGTTGTCACATCAAGTGATGTTTCAGTACTTCACTAATAGGAACGAAGGTCTCCATTACACTTGAACAAGGCGGCAAGATGATGACGTTTACGGGGCCCTTCAATGCCCGTAAAGTCAATTTTGCCAACACTCCATCTTTGTGCTCAGTCCAACCCCGCCCTCTCTTTCACTCAGATAGGCCATGGAGCTGGTAGGAAAAACTTCGGTCAGCCACTCTTTACAGAGAGATATACAAATGATCCGCGTATCAAGGCGCACGCATTAACGGGCGGCAGATCCCAAGTATCCCACACTGTCAAGGATCTTGTAGTTTTGAGTCCCATGGGGCTGAGAGAAAGACAGAAAGTGCGGACACATCAGTCAATTCTTTCAAAAGTCATTTGTATATATAACAGCACTGGTGAGATATCTTCGTGGCAGGCGATATGGCTAGATAAGGATGAGTACTTTTCAGAGACTAGGCAAGGAATCTAGATGTCTATTTTTCCGAGGGGGCAAACACCGATTTCATTACTTGCGTACTATTGTATACAAAGATCCTCCGACTTCACCCAGGTTCACCAAGCCAATCCCGATAGGAACAACGATCGAAGTTGGAAGAATCCTCCACTGGCTGTGTCATTCTTTGGCTAATGATCACAATAATCAAACAAAGAAGCGGGAACGAAACATATCATGGAGGCAACTCAGCTATCAGATCGTATGGAGCGTGAAAGCGTGAGGGTCTTGACGAGATACAAAGTGGCCGAGAGCAAAGACCATCTCGAGGAAACCTGGATGGCTCTATCGCATGCCATCGGCAGTAGGCGCGGGACCGTCGTTTGCCGCAATATGTACATCGTAGGCCGTTTAACCAGTGGCCAGGGAAGCTGGAGTACGGGGGAGGCTGTAAGGCTTCTTCTATTATCAGGCCTCCCCAGGGATCCGTATCAACGACGGGCTGTCTTGTTCCATGGTGCGCGCAACTAGAAAGAATTAAGAAAGCTGGAATTGTAGAGTAATACCAGAAAGGCGCACCTATCCGAAAGTCGTACCCAGATCCCGGTGATGAAGCGCATTAGGCTACAAGTTTTACCCAGTAGATTTTCCGCAGAACTTCGGTCTCACCACCACCTATTGATCTATATATGGAATGCAATAGCTGCCATTGACAATTTCAAACTGCTTTGTTGCGGGCCGTTGCTCATAACATCTGACAATTCAGCGAAGATGACGCAAGAGTTGTCATCGTCAACGGATTCAACAATCCCCCTAAACGAGGTAGTGTCATGCCCTCCCAGCCTTCCGATCGACTAGCGTGACGTTATGGAGTTTTCGCCTAGTTTGGGGGGTTGATCCGTCTCGCAACACACGGGCGCACTGCGTCTCGGATCTGAATTTGGCACTGATTGAACAATGGTATGTACTGGTTTTGCCCATAGACATTGGTAATTAATGTACGTTTCAAGGACGTTTGACATGACTATATATTCCCCTTAGCCTCATCGTTGTACCCTTTCTCAAACGCCCTCTCTCCTTGCCATCCCACGTACTGACTTTGCAGAACCCACGGCATGACTGAGTTATCCAGAAAAAGTGCGAAGGAGTTTGCAACAACGTAAGTAAACCACCACTGCTGCAAGTTGGCATGTCTGAAACAATCCTGCTTTAGCATTCTCCCGCTCTACTGTGGCCCGCACGTAAGAATTCGGATCGACTTCAGCGATCAGGAGTATACAGTCTCTAAAGGGCTTCTCTGTGCAGAATCGTCCTATTTCTCAGCAATTCTCGAAAAGCATTGTCCCGGATCCCAGCAGCAGACCGCGACTCTTGACAGAGTGGAAGGCATTGTCTCAGGACAAAGCGTCGAAGCCCTGATTCAATGGTTGTACCTTCGTATGGTGATATTTGATATAGAAGACCCTGGGGATCAGATCTCAGCTGCCATAGAGCTTGTAAGGCTCGCTGACATGTGCAATGTGAGCGGACTGGAGCCTCAAATGGCTCGGTATATCAAAAAGATCCTGATTGCAAATCCGAACCCTCAATCCAACCATTTTTGGAGACACGTGGACACCAACACTTATTGCCTGACCTCACAGCACATTGCGGCGGCATCACTTCTACCTCAGAAGCACCCGGTCCGTCGCATCTTGGCTGCAGCTTCCGTCGAAGGATACCTTCGGGATCAAAACCACAAGTTTGCCGAGGAGACCCAAGAATATCCATCATTTGGAGCCGATCTCCTCTGGGAGGTCGGCATGGCTTTGGATGAGATCAAGTCCACCAGCAAGGTCGCATTCAAGGATCCTATCAGTGGTCAGAGGGCGGAGATCAAGGCGGGTCGGGAGATGTAAGGATTTTGTTCGAGCCGTTGAGCTGGGAATA